TGCAGTCTCTAATCTACACAAGGAGTCTCGCCGCAGTGAGATTACCGTCGGAATTCCACATTGCCTTGTAAACTGTCACACAATTATTTCACATATCACTGCCTAACTGAACTTCCTCGCACAGCCCATCCGTTATTAGAACATCGGGAGATTACATTGTGTCTGAGATCGGTTATTTGCCGGGAAATTACTGCAAACTGTCGCTCAATACAGTTACGCTTTCAGTTCGTGTTTCTAAACAAATGGGGGATGCAACTCTTGCAACTGGTAGACATTGCAACTCAACGTGAATGTGGACACATGAGTCATCAAGCTCTAGCTACTTGGATTTCCCCTCTATTCCAGCAAAATCTACATACGTTCTGTTCATCTTATTTGCTAGAAGCTTAGTCGTTATCTTGTGTGCTTGATAAATAATAAAAAAGAAGGATGACTATGAAATTGCCAATTTGCCCAGCTACTCGATCCTCATGCTTATCGAGGATTTTATTTTAATCATCGTATCCGTATTGTTACAGGACGGATTTATAATTTGTCTTTCTCGTTTCACCACACACACACACACACAAACACACAGATGAATGGTGGACAAGGTGTGGTGGACGGAAGTTGACTGGTTCACTCAGTTACGGTTTGAACAATCTCTCACGCTCTCGTTCTATCTCTATTTGTTCATTAATGCCATTTCAACTTTCAGACTCGTAGGTACATGTGTCGTCGAAATTCCGTCGTTCATTAAAACAACACAGATGGGCACGCGCTCACTGAAGTTCTCACAGACGCGGGTGTAGTGAAACCCATTTCAGTAAAATCAGCGTGACCGCTAGATTGGCTATAAAGCTTACCAGTCGCCTTGTTTTGGGGGCTAGCTTTGCTGTCATTGGTTGTCACAGATGACAGCATTTCCTCAGCAATAGCCGCGTACTCAATGAATGAAACGGTTTACAGAGAACCGAAAGGTCCAGAATAACAATTTGTTTTCGGATGTTTTTTTTGAAGTTCTTTTATTTTTGTTTTCATTTTTTCCCGAAAATGAGGTGATTCGTCCAAGTCGCTCTTAGTTCTCACTATTTACGTGGCACAAGCATCCAGGTTCTATTCTGGTTTTGCGGAGCCGTTTGGAATTTGCAACGCCGCCGACTCTCCCTGGTCATTGTAAATTGGGAAACAAAGCGTGTACACCCAAAACCCAAGAAGATTTAAACCCACACCCACTTTATTTTAACTGTTGAAACTGCGTTTTTCCGTTGCCATATTGTTTTTTGCGAGTATTGGTGGATTTATTCCAATTACAAAGGTGACATTTTTCGCGAATACAGCAAATGAAGCGCGAACTGAAAAGCTAGGAATCAGTGACAACTGTTTCGACCTAGTTGGGTCCTATCAGCAGTTCGAATCCATTGACCCTACTGGGGATCAAATCCGGGAGCGCAGAACCAGAATGCAAGCATGCTACCCACTTGACCACCGAACAACCGATCAGATCGTTTTCATTTTCTATTGACACGATAAAGCACAACCCATCTTTGCGAGTTTGTTGCAGACCACGGACCTCGCTCATCTCAGTACTAGCCTCCGGGATTATGACTCGGTTGCAAACAATCACAACCTGGCTATTAGTTTTGTTAAATTTCATCGTCCCTGTGTTATAATGTATCCCATTAACTCAGTGACTTATGTTATTTGAATTGAACATCAAATGTTTCTTTCATCTAAGAAAGGTGAGTCAATCAAATCCAGCAAAATGCATTTGACTTTTGTATTGATGCACATAGATTCGAACGATACCTTGACAGTGATATATTTTTTCCCGAGACATTGAATGAGGATAGAATTGATGTAAACATATTATTTTTGCTGCATCGAGTGATGAATATGTATTATTATTGCAGTTTTTTAGTCGGATATATTCTAAATCATATGCACCGCTCTTTTTCATTTTACCAACAGATTCTATGACCTAATTCAAGAGGACTTTTCTTGCAACAACTTTCCTTCGTCAAGTTCCCATTGATCTGCATTGCACTTCGTGTCACGTGATTGACTCAAATTTATTTCTGCAACTACGTCCAAATAGCAACTGAATGGCTAGTTTCATAGCTAAACAACTCATCGGAAGCCAGTTGGATTCTGTAAAAGGTGAGTTTGATTCTGCCCTGTCAAACGTACTGTTGGTGTTAACAATGTCGGTTCTCCAAAATCCAATCCAATTGGGAAATACGGTGTGATTTTCCCTGTTGTTATCGGTTGGGTAATAGACAAACTAGGCAACCACTTTGTTGAGCCTTCACTTGGAGACTCTATATTTGTGACGTATCTCATTTCGTTTTATCGGTGTTTGGTTACCTATGAAATTATATCTGTCCAGAGTGATATCATAGGATGAGTGTAAAATGTCCCACTCATACTCTGCTTTACAGTATGAGACAATAGCTATTGATAATCGATCCTCGTTGCTCAGGTGGATTAAACTGATTTTCGTCGCTTCAGTGAGCTCCAAAATTTGTTTGCAAGCATTTCATTAGCAACCAAGCTGACATATTTAGAGGTATGGAACATATCCGCTCGGATGATGATGAAACACCTACAAACAAATTACCAAGTTACGAGAACATGAGAAAATCAATGATACAACAATGTTAATGCTCAACGAGAGTACATCCTTGTCCTTGTTTGTCCTGAGTCGGAGACCTTGTCTAACGGAGAGGAACTGCAGGAAGTTGACGTACTTTGAGATAGGTCAAAAGTGCATATAAGTGGAAAGTTCAGTGCTTTTTCACGGCATATGCACACATAATTCACACTAAGCAATATGCCATCTCTATTTTAATTTTCAGTGATTTCCGTATTAGCATAAGTGCTTATACATTAAGACTAACCATCCTTCGAACTTCACCCTCATGCGCAACTTTCCGTTTCTCCTGTCAAACAAAGAATTAGAGTTTAGCATTAGTGTACACCCAAGAACCATCTGGGATTGAAGCTCCGAATTCCACGTGTGAAAGATGTGTGCTTGCGTGTTGCCAATAAGATAATAAGTACTACCGGTTAAGTTTATAACGAGCAAAACGCGGATCTGGCACGTCTCGAGTGTACGGTTTACTGGATGAACTTAGATGAAGTTTGAATGTGTTCAGTTGAAAGCAACGTCGGTAGACCGGACGACGTGTTTGTATCCCACAACGACCACCTCCCTACCCATTTGAGTGTTGTATAGCAGCCCTTCAATTGACCGCTTCTCTCTTCTTGGAAATTGTATCATTATATAATCAAGAAAAAAAAATCGCTGAAAACGCAAAAGTACACTTTAGTGAATCCACTTTAGTGGTGACACTGGCCGTAAGTGGCATACCACTGGAGGGCGAAGACATCTGAGGATGCATTTACAGTGTACTACTAGGGGTTGAGCTGATTACCAAGGTAAAAAATTGAACAATAAAATTCCTAATATTACTGAGCAGATCGGGTAAGAAGGACATCTTTGATGTCCTTGTGATGACGATGAGCATACCTTTTACTCTGCTTACCCATACACATTGGAAAACTGATCTATGAATGAATTCTGGACGCTAGAAGTAAATATGAAACATCATATATTGAATGACTGGCAACTTCAACGATAAAATTTAGATTACTTTGAAAGCATAAATTCGTTTTATTAGCATAAGAATGGTAATCACAGTACTTATAAAAAATTCAATTCGTGTTATACAAATCGAATACAAGATTTAATTTGTCTTATGGCTGAATAAAAAAGTGAGTAAAAAATCTATCACGTAGAAAACTGAAGATAATATGTTTCCGTGGTTAAGCACTGTGAGACATGAATGCCCGCCCGCCCGCATCTGGGCGGTTGTGGTGATTTCGGGTCTGGTTCATTGTGCATACCTATTTTTATTGTTAACTGAATTGTTTCTCAACACAGTGAGGCTTCCATGGTAACGCATAATTCTCTCAACATCAACACATTACTTAGATTGTAGATATTTCTGTTCCCGAAGGAAAACTATTTTCGTTCCCGACTACGTTGCTCTGTGTGGTTTGCAATCACCATCACATGATGTTGACACGTATCGCTGTACGGATGCGGTTTTTTCGGGTGACTTGTTTTTATCCATCGTGGTTCAGACGTCGACTCAAGTCGGGCGAGAAAACAATTCAGTCCGATAGTGAGCGTGGAACAATCCACAGAGAGCAGCAATGAGTATTAGCCTATGACTAAAATGTGATCCTTGTTTACTTGCAACGGATTATTCAAATGAAAATACGAAACATATTTTGTATTTACTTTTTGACTACTGTAATCATCCCAGTAGAATATTTATAAATGACAATATTTTGCCCCACACCGGACATTGCCAAGCAACAGAATTTTAGCGGTTAGTTACTCACACTGCTTACGATTGTACGATTGCTTGTACAATTTTTATATGTTGATAACTGTAATTTTTGTTCTGTTTTTTTCTGCATCATAATATTTCGTTTCATTCTGTGCCATTACTTTTAGAATTGAATGTACGCTGGCGTCCACAGATCTAATCAAATCCGTTTCAATGAGAAATAAAGTATCTCAGCATTCCTTGTCATTTCTAGGTCGGTCCAGGACTTGCGTTTCACTTAATTTGATGTCTTCAAGTTTTCCATTGCCACAGCTAAATTGTTTCTTCACTTGCAACGGACAGTTTGCTATTTTTTTCTCAGAATGTGAGGTTCGTGATAAAATAACCCCATCTACTAAACTTAATCCGTAACTGCTCAGTTAAGTAATAATAAAAATAACCACTTTGATTTTGAAACCAGTTGCGTTGTTCGAAAGTTAAGCTAAGAGACTAATGTATGCGATTAAGAACCAGCTATAAACGTTTGAAGTACCTCAGTTTTCCTTATTTACTGTCATATATAAATGCACTCATTGTAGCCTATTCTCTTAGAAACCAACAACGAAGTATTCACGTTTTCTTGGTGTAAATGACCACTATCTGCGTTCTGTACATGCATTGATGTTTCATCCAGGTGCACTCGGTGATAAGAAAGACGACGATGGCGGTTCCGGAGCTCGTGAAATCGACCCCGAGGTTGAAGCTGCTCGTCGAGAGGCCGAGGAACGTCGAGAGGCAAAGCATCAACGTATGGAGGAAGAGCGTGAGGTGATGCGTCAGGGTATTCGAGACAAAGTAAGACTGTCGCACCGAAACGTTTTGCAATCGATCTAAAAAGATTTATTGAAGATCTCGCTTGTTTTTACGGATATGGAAAAGTGCCATTTGCAGTAGGACAACCACAAATATATGGGATCCTTCTCTTATTTTTCACATACTACATGCCAGTATTCTCGAACGATTTCTTATCTGGTCAAAACGATCTTGTACATGGTATGATGAGACATCAAGATGTGCGTTACAAATATGCCTCATGTATATGAAAAAAATCAATCAATACCAGAAACAAGGGTGATAAAATAACTCGACAGTTTTCCAGTACGATCTCTTTACTAATCGATAACTGATAAACGCAGGGTTCAACAAACAGTGAATCAAATTATTGGTGTGACCCGGTAACCCAGCTGGTTTAGCGTGCACTCTACAAACATTTAAGTGGCGTCCATGATGCTGAACGCTTCACGATCAACCGTTAAATGTACGATGAAAATGAGTGATGAAACAAACCACAACTCATTTTCTCGAAAGAATAAAGTAGGGTCTTCCTAAAATTCAATCATGCGCCATCTTTGGTTACGATTTGAAATGTGAAACCTCGGGGCAGCTCAACAGCAGTGGATGCATATATGTGTATATACTGGTAAAGAACCACGGTTATCATGATTTTGCGAAATGAAATACTTTTTCGTTGTTATAGGTATTTCTTTCATTGTTCGACTTATCACTGCCAGCGTTTCTCCTGCGGTTCTTCTGATAATTATCTCCCATCTACTTGGTTTCCTACTTTAACCTGTTTAGTATGGCATCAAAAAGAAGGAAGAGGAGAATGTGACTGAATTTGATTTCTCCAGTCCGGAAGGTCGATTGGGGCGAAAACGTAAGACGGCAGCGGAAATAGCTGCAGAAGCAGCGGCGGCCGAAGAGGCGGAGAACTCTCTGACAAGTACGTACATTTTTAATTTTTTATTAATACTACTCAAATGAGTAGTCAAATTAACCTGGAATACAACCTAAACAAGGTTACAGATTGGAATAAATGGGAACATTCCTATTGCATTTTGTTAGTGGTGAAGCACGCCTTGTTGATTCAGGTTACATCCTTTATTTAGTACCTACCTGTGAGAGCCCATGACAGATGCATGATTGCTATCCACCACAAAATAGCAGACTAGTATTAGCCTCCTTTTTGGTTCCAAATCCAACCATATGAAACGGACAGGTTTATTTTTTTCATCAGTGCAGAGAAAGCAATAGTGCTTGAAGTGTGACTCAGTTGCATTTGACCTTCGAGTCCTAAACTCAAGATCAAGCGTTTGTGCTGATGTGATGTTTTCCGTGATCGTCACCTGCACACGACTATGTTTCTAAGTCTAACTGTGACGTGATAATTGACTAAAAGGATGATCGGTGGTATTTTCTTGTTTCAGTTTTAAGGCATTTTATCTATATTTGGCTATTGGAAGCTCATTAGCACACACGGAAGACAGCTTAACTATTATGTTTTTCCATACCATTCTATTTCATTCAGACATGCTCCCCGAAAACATGCGTGAAATGGCCAACAAGGTGACTGAGGTCCCGGGAAAACTGATCTCCGAGGCGTCGGAAAAGTGCACGGCGATGTGAGATCCTGCGATCTGTAGTACCTCCTTCCAAATCACACTTTACGAACAGGTAGTAATTCAGTCAAACAACATTCTTTCTGACAGCTAATTTATCATTCAAGTCTCTTGTGCGTGCCCTTACAAACCGGCAACAAACTATATCAGACTTATTCTCAGATTACACACACACAGACACCGCGTACCGATTTTCATTATTTCTTTTTTGATTATCACATCCGATTGTCGGATTTGATTGCATAACGCGCGAAAACAGGCATCGCATGATGACACTCATTAAGGACCAACAATTAACACTGCCCCCAGGATGCACAATCGCGTTTTTTCTGACTCTTTCATTTAACTATTGACATATACACACACATGCACACGCTGATCAACTTGATCCCGTGTTAATTGTTGCATGGAACGGGTTTCTTCAAGGTAATTTCTTTTTTCCTTTAAATCACCGCTATCATCTAATCTATTTCAGTACGTGCATGAGACAATGTCTGGTCCAAAAACTCGCTTCTCGTATGTAGCACCTTTCGGTAAACACACTAACTCAGACAAACGCGCACACACACGGACACACTTTGCAACGTAGTCAGTACTATTTCCCAGATGTTGCTCTTATTGCTAAACAGAAACAGCTTGGCTAATAATCCATGCCAGGTTGCATGGTTCGGAAAAAATAGTAGTAACCACCGATTATATACAGTTACGCCTTTCCTTGCCTGGTGCATATATATGAATATATATAAAGTAGATGATATGGACCACCTGTCATGGAACCGTGCCAGCAAAAGTAGCGTCCATGCCCGCACAAATCCACCTGCACAACATATGAACGCACACATATATATACTCAGATACATATGAATACGCGTTCATATAAGTATTCCTCAACTGCTGTTATTTATCCTTCGAATCCCAATTGATCCGACGATCAGCCGACGTGTGTGCGTTGTTGTATGTGACAAAATTCGGACATGAAATAAGCGTATCTCTTGATTTTCGGCGCGATCATAATTGCACCACTTCAAGGTCATGCTGTGGCTGACTATGCAGCACAAGCGATTTATTCTGTTCACAAACCGAAACACACCCCGCATACACACATGCATTCAGGACCGATTACATACGGGACCTTTATGATGGATTTTGTAACAAAAAATTGAAACACGAAGCTGATTTGACTTGACATCCGTACTGCCACGCCTCAGGCTTTACCCTGTACCACTATTTCGCATCCATTTATTGCGGCCTATTTGTTTTCTTTGTGTGCAACAACTAAAACAACAACAAAAACAACTAAACAACAACAGCAACAACAGCAGCAGTAGCAAAAACAACTGCAACAGCAGCGACATCAGCAACAACTATCACAACCGCATGAATAGCCACACGACCCGCCAATTTCACTACACATCCTTTCACCCGTGCAGAATCTCCTTACGATTCACTGAGGTTCCCTAATCACTGTCATTGAGGCGTCCACTTACCCTCACCCCAAATTCACGCTTCTTCTAATTTTAGCGAGGAACTACTTGTTTCGTCAGAACCCAATGCATTCCACATCCCACATCTTATTTTATTCTATTCTACTAATTTCGTATGATTTAATTTATTTGATTCAAAAGTGAAAATGCATAATCCATATATTCGTGCCAGCCTTGCTGGTCGAATATTATCTGTTCAAAAGATTTTGTCTTTTCATTCGTATTAACTTGTCATTGGCCGAATCGGATCACAACGTGACTGCTTTCCTTCACTCTGTCTCTCTCACGATTCCCGTTGTACATTAGTTAATCCGGCATTTGCCATGCCGATTTTTATTTCACTCGATACACAAAACACAAAATATATCTTATTCATACATAATCTGATCCCTTGTTTTTTTAAAAAGAGTGAATAGTGGCATCGATTTACTCCCAGGTGGCAGGCTGTCTGATTTCGAGTATGCACGTGACACTGTGCTGCTTAGCAAAAATCCAAGTAAGTTGCAAGCTTTTCTGGTCAGTATGACTGTCAGTATAGATATGTGTTTTGCACCTTCAAAGTGTTAAATGTTGCTACAAGACTGGGTTGGTCCAGCACCCAGCCTCACTTTAACTGGGGAAGTAATAGAGCAAGTGGATAAGTTTTGTTATTGG